TAGTTGCTCTGCTGAAGACCTACACTAAGGCTGTGTCCGAAATTAATCACTCAATCCCTAACCCCTAATCCCCATTATGTGTTTCACTATATAGCTGACTATTTAGTGAGCTCAATCACAGGAGGTTTCGGACACTATATGGCATTGTATAGGGCAAGACGCAATGCATGGTCACAACATTTTGCAATCCTCTGTGGGAAATTTTAAGTCGCCTATATGGGGCACTGGAATTGATTACTTAGGTTTCGGACACCCCTCAAAATGGCGCTAACCCCTATATAGTCGTCTTTATAGGGGTTAGGGATCCATTTCGGACACATCCTAAGTGTTTTTACTACACCCCAGTGATGGCTCTGAGACAAGCCATACTGCCTCCTGTGCATTGACCAGAATGGGCATGGATCATCCCTTGGCTTATGGGATGAGGAGATTTGCCAAATACAACATGCACTTGAAAGTATGCTGAATAAATGCTGCAGAATAAGCCCTTTGACCACAATTGCTGCGTGTAAGTGTTCATCGGTCAAAATGCAGGATGTGCATTTTCCTGGAACACGCAGTTTTTCTACTTTATTGTTGCTTGATGCAAAAAGGCCAGTTTGCCATTTTCCGAGAGTAATCTTCAAAAAATCTCTCCAGATATCACAAAATTGCGGCCCCTCATCACAGCTCAAAGTGCTCTGTCAGGTGTGTGTGTGTGTGCAGAGTCTGTAAACAAGTGCGTAATGTTGCTACTGTCACAGGTAGTTTTTGTTCAATTACCTGAGGCAGCTTTTGACTGAGAAGACTGCAGCTTTCAGTGTCATGTTAGCGCTGTGAATACATACTGTGTGCCAGCTGTTAACAGAGTAGGTGAGCTGCAGAGTGCTTACTTTGAGCAGATGTGCCTGCGGTGCACGTCCTCCACGGTGTGTTTCTCTTTTTTTTTAACGTGTCTGTCATGGAGCCAGACATGCTGATTAACACAAGTGATAAAACCGTGACCTTTAAGTCTGGATGTAAAGTTATCAAAAGACCTGTCTCTTCACCTGTTGTCTCTATTCTCCAGAGCCCCGTTTACATGTGCAAAATTTCTTGATCCAATTAAAAAATTTGAGGGATCGGATAATCTGAATCCACTGTTTATATAGGCAAATATCAAATAATCCGATCATGACGTGCGTGTACATGCACCAAGTTTTATTCAGATTAGAAGTATTTGGACATGCGCAGAGCTGTCTAATTTCGCTTAAACAACCACAGAAGGAGATAAGTTGTTTTTCCGCCTGTGCTGTCAACAAACCAACAAACGCGGTAGTATTCAGGATTTTCCCCTCTGTTAAAAATTGTCACTAGATGGCGCTATTGCTTACTTATTTTACTGTTCTGTAAAAGTTTGCACTGTGCATGCAGATGTGGCATCATTACGCTGTATGTACGCCTTGTTATGTTGTCGGAGGAATATAAAAAATAACAAAAATAAAAAAATAGATACTAATAATAATTCATTTAAAAATTAAAAAAGTCAAAGTAATAAAAATGATAAAATAATTATAAAAAATATAAAATAAAAATAAATGAAATTAAAATGAAACAATAAAAATTGAAAATTAAAAACACTAATAATTTTTTTTTTAAAAGGTGGCGTAGGAGCAGGCAAGGCACCTGTGGTCATGTTTTATGCCAGACTGTTAATAATGAAACCTCCTGTTCCGGCCTCAATAAATTAACCAAAGGCTAAAGAGTGAAGACCGAGTCAGGTAAGAGAGTCACGATTGGAATAAGTGTTCATATGGACGTGTTTCCAAAAATGATCGGCATAAACCAACCCTCTCGATCGGAATATGATTTCTTTCCGATTGAGCTGAATGAGATCAAAATCTTCAGATCCACATGTTTACATGACGCATTTTTATTCTGATTATTTGTGCCCATGTTAACATAGCTCATGTGAGTGTCAGAGCTGCTTGTAGAGAGCTACACCAAGTAAAAGTAGGTGGGTAGTTGTGCTAAACTCTGCTGATGCCACATTTTGAAGCAGTGAAATTAACAAGCCGAGGTGCACGTTGAAAAAGCTCCTAACTGCATGTATTTTGAAAACATAGATGATAAACAGCAGTGATAACATGAGCGCTGTGCACACTCAGACACACATGATATGATCAATGTCATGTAATCAATGACAACAGCTCAAATAAGACTCCAGGGAGAATGCAGGAAAACATGGAAGTCATTAAACTAAGACATACTTATCAGGGACACTACAAAACAAATCTGACCCTACCTTATAAGCATAGTAGCCTACCAAACCTGTTAAAATCTAACTGTAATAATCAACAGGCTCTTTTATTGGCATGTAAATGCCAGCGGAGAAGTGTTTATGATGCTTTTATGACTCATTATGACCTGAAACAGTGTCAGTAACAGTGACGTGTAAGATGGTGTTTTGGATCAATGAGTGACTGAGTTATCTGGTGCCTTGTGAGCTGACGTGTCAAGTTTTATCGCTCTTACAACAACCTTTATAACCCTCATTTGGAAAGTGCTGCATCTTTTCACTCCAGTTTGTCGTCTGAATTAACAACAGTATATTTTAATTAAAGTGGTTAATACAGGTAAACTTTAACACACGCAAAGATCAGTTTCACCGTGTTGGAGACCAGAGTGCAGCTCCCTCCATTTAAAGTATTACTGTTGCTGAAAATTGCAGTCTGGGAGCATTTCATGGAGAATCAATATGACACTCTGTACATTTTTGGGGCCATATAGCTCAGAAAAATATCACTGCACTTGTTCCATAACAGCCTCCAGGCCTGGTGTTTGAAAAGCTTTTTTCTCTGGGTAGAGGTGGCCATGCTGTCAGTACAGGAGGTTCTCTGTGAAGTCCCTCCAGTCCCACTATCCTGCACGAGAAGAAAGTAGTCACGGCAGGTGAGCTGAGACAGGAGTGAACATTATCACACTGCAGAGAGACAGAGAGACAGAGAGGGAGAGAAATGTGGTCAATGATATCGCTGTGCCGCAAGAGGAGCTGCACCAAGAGGCTGATTCAGGCTTTTAAATGCATAGCTGGAAACGCTGGTATTAACGGCTGAATTAATTTATAGATTATACTTCGTCTTTGTGAAGTAGTCTGCTGTTTTGATCCCACATATGTCGCTTTGGTAGCAGAGGCTTCCTTTTAATCATGCATCCTCAAATAAAACATATTAAATGAACTGAAGTGAACTGAGTGGAAAAAGAGAGAGAAGGAGCGAGGCAGAGAGACGTGCGAGCACACTGAGGAGTCTGTTATTCGGAGGGCTTGTGCAGGGGAGGGCCCGAGCTGTGAATGCAGAGGAATGACAGGCAGGGATTAGAGGGGAGGTGGTGCCATTGAAAAGCGAGCTGATCCAGGGAGCCGAGCTGACACTTGAACACAGCCGGCTGACAAGACCAGCCAGCCCTGCTGCTGCAGCTCTGCAGAGGCTTCTCCACCTCACCAACCCCCACCCCGTCCCCCTCCTCTCCAGGGAGCAAGGAGGGGGCTGCACTGGTTCATTAGTCAACAGTGTGGAGAGACAGATGATGTAATGAAATGTGATTAATGGTCTGTGTGCGATTTATCAGTTAAATGTTATGATTCAGAGCCCAAATTGGAGAAGATGTTGAATTTAGTGCTTTTTTTTAGGATCTCAGCAGGGACGTCTTTCATGGAATTTGACATAAATCAGATCTCAACGAGGCGTGAGACTCAGGCTGTCACTTTTGAAACTTTCCAACACCACAAGCTTTAAATGATTCATTATCCACGAGTTTTACACTCTGCATCAAAACGCAGTGTTTAATTTCACCTTGAGGTTAGTTTTCTCTCTGTCAAACCTGATGCTTTCAGGCGCCCAGACACAACATAAACCTTTATTCTGCTGCTAGTGTGGATCTAAATAATCAGTTCACACCAGATTCTTTCATTCACACAAAAAGTGATTTTATAATGAAGTGCAAATGAAAGACAGTAAAAAGTTCATAATTGATAAAAGAGGTGTAACATACTTTGTTACAGCTTCTTTAAGACAACATCTTGTTGTGGTTAATGTGTTTCCTGCTCAAACAGGATGCTGAGGTGCAGCCGGCATGATATCACTTTTGATGTGCAAACCCCATACCTAGTATAGTTGATGTGTCGTGTGAAAAATGAATAAAAACAGAAGACAATGATTTGCGTATCTTTTTCCCACCTGTATTTAATAGAATTCACTAGAAATACAAGATCTGAAATGATCAATATTCACTCATTTTGAAGTTGATGATGACAGCAGGGTTATGTTTCCCGCTGTGTTACATCACCTTGGCATTGTCCCCCTGAAGAAGACGTGGCTTAGATGACAGGACATGTTTGGACAAAGTCTCTGTTAAAGCTACATTTTGAGGTTGATCCAGTTTAATCTTGTGATATAATCTTTACAGACGCAAAGAGACTAAGTTTGTCTACAGAAGCAGGAGGTGTCTCTAGACCGCAGCGTGATCGGTGCAAGAACAGGAATAACCTCGTGTGAGGGGGCGAGCCACTCACTAAACAGGATGTTGGCAAAAAACCCAGGAAGCCTGAGGCGAACACAACTCCACATCTTTTACTTTCTGCCTCGCTGTTTGAACATCGCTCTATTTTCTGAATTGGCGCTGATGCTGGTATTGAGCGTAGATCATGCTGTCAAGTCACTCAGCATGAATGTACTTTGTAAGACGTCTTGGATGATGAAGGGCGGTTATTTTTCTGTTGACTAGAGTTATTTATAGCTTACACCTGTATTAAATTAAGTACCGAATGTTATATTTTTGGTGTCATATTACAACAGGTCAGATTAGCACCTGTATTATTCCAATATGGAGTCATACTGTTGTACTGTAAGCTAAATGTAGTTGCTGTATTGTCTGGATGGCAGCATATGTTGCTCCAAATCTTCCATTGTTCACATCAGGTACTGGCTCTTAAAGTTTGCTGAAAACCAGGTTAGGGTCTTTAAAATTTATATCATCTCATAGAAGCATCTATGATATGTGCGGTGGCCCTAAGGTGCAAAACACAACTGCAAATCAGAAAACAACATAAAAAGAGAAAACACAACGGCAAATCAGAAAACACAACACAAAAAGTGAAAACACCATGGTTAATGTCGGTCTGTTTTCTCTTGTTGCGATGTGTTTTCTGATTTGTTTTTGTGTTCTGCACCTCAGGGCCACCGTAGATATTTGATCTGTTATACCACAGGCTAGTTTTCCAGTTCTCTCAAACACGGTTATAGGTGGTTTCCTCTTTACACATCCTCTGTGAGATGATCTCCTCTGACTCAATTCGTCTCTTTACAAAAGGAAGCTGCAGTAGGCGTCGTGATAACTTAGTAAATAGCGGGTATGCAAGCTGTTCGGGATAAGTGAGGTCAATGGCTGGCTGTGCCGCCGTCTATCACGCTCAAAGACTGAACAGCTGGAACATGCGCCAGTCTCACCATCACTTCTGAGTGTTCACGCAGACATAATTGCTCAACTATTTGATCTCGGGGGCCCGGCTCATAATGCCAGCAGTATTTAAATCAGATGTGTGTCTCTTGAATGCATGACTCCCCACATGGCTCACAGAAGCCTCCGCTGCCCGGGTGTTCCTTTGATTAATAATCCTGACAAGTCGGCCTATTATTATGAATTAAAGCGGCACAACTGTATGCGTCATATTATCTCCTGCAGCAGAGGGGGGACATGAGACAAAGCCAGACGCTTTTTGTGCAGGAAGCTGATTAGGAAGCATAAACACCTCCTGCCTCCTGCTGAGCTGCATTGGGGTTTGACACTTTGATCCGAGAGCTTTTTTAGACACAGACGCCTAAACACGCTCTGCACACATGGGTGTAAACACATGTTGACACGAGCGCTTTTTGTGGTTGCTGAGGCTCGGTTTGAATCATAGAGGTGTTGATTTAAAACTCAAATATTAACCGCAGATGTGTAAGCATTTCTGTGCTGTTATCAATTACAGTGTTTAGCTTTGCGTGCTTTCTTCTGCTGCAAGTGCACACACACACCTGTGCTCCACACTAACCACAGCATCACATCACATAAAACAAGTGCAACATCGGAGAAGAAAAGAGCACCTCCAATGATCCATCAATTCCCATTGGTTTGGTAAGAGGGGGGATTTATTGACTGGCAGAGTAAATTCAAGGCTTACTCACTGTCAACACAACCCAAGAGGCAGTCTGCTGGAAAATCTAGTGCTGCGGTGCCAGGTCGCTCCACATAATTCCCCTGTAGGGTTGCTGTCTGTGATGAGCCATGCTCAGTGTGGTTGTGTGGCTGCTGAAAGGCCTGTCATTACAGCTGCACCCTGTGGCCAGGCAGCCAGATCCAACCCAAATACGATCCCATCTGACAACTGGCCAAGCTTTACCCCAACCCACTTATCACTGCAGGATTTGGTTAATAACTCTGTCCAGATATGTCTCTTAAATGTAAGTGAGCATCAACCTGGATATGTCTGAAAAGAAACCTTCCCATTAGCTTGTTGTACATAATAACAAATATGAGGCTAATATTTTGAATGTAATGTTGAAATTGAATATCTATCCTTCAATTAGGCTGATAAGAATCTGTTCCCATGGAGACATATCATCCTTAAATCAATATTAAGGGACTCCTTTCCTTCCCTAACTTTTGATTTCAGGCCCTAAATGGATGTTTGCTGATGAATAACAACATTTTTCTCTGTTATGTTTTTAGCTTACACACAGCTGGGGCTCATATTTACTTAAACTGGGAAAGTGGAGATTAACGGTCACACCACCATCTGGTTTATTTTGATATACTGGCTTTATAATTACTGCTTATTCCAGCGTTTTGGATTTTGATGGCTTAAAGCGTTTCACTTGTTAATGGATACATGAGCATTACGCCGCATTAAAGTATGCATTACAGTGCTGCGAGGGGACTTTATTCATAAAGTGCATCTCTGTATTATAACATGTCACGTTCAGTTATTCACACCACGTTGGTACGCTACATTTAGAGGGTTGAAGACACTTAATTAAGATTTAATCAAGATTTAAATTAAAATTGAAAAATCATGAATGGTCAAAAGACAGTTTGGAGACTGTGACCATCCTGACTAATCCGTTAAATGTGTATTTTTCTTCATTGTTTTGTATGTTTACATTATCATCCGTACATCTCTGCGTTTTCTCATCATTTTGGTCAACAGGTTTAATCGCTTCAGGATGGAAATATGCCTTTTTAATGACTTGAGCTGTGTCCCATCTGTTAGCACATTGTAAACTCTCTAACAGGATATGTTTGCATGCAGTATTACATAACCTTAGTTGGTCATGCTGCATTTCACAGGCTGCAGCTAGTCCTTCTTTATCTCATTTTGCCGTATTTCCATTGGTCTCTGTTCCTATTCTTAAACTTTTCAGCGTTTCCTACCTGAGGCTTAGATTCGTGAACAATAATGCTAATGGATGATGGCATCACTGGCAAATAAACTTCACAGAGCTGGACTGGGCTTTTAGGATGGCTGAGTCAGAGCGCTGAGTGGATGTGACTCATGTAAATAATCCTGAACACTTTCTCTTTGTCCGTCTTTGTCTCTTTCTGTTACTCTTCCTCTCCCTCTTCCTCTCTCTCTTAGAAATCAATCAGCGATGGTCCCTCCACCCCCCACTGATGGATCTATTATTAATGAGGGCCCTTAGCACTAAACTAAATTTAGTGCATAAACTCCACTTGCAGAGCTAGAGAGGGGGATCAATAGGATGGCAGAGGCCACAGTGAGAGGCTCATTTAGCTCTTTGGAAATGCAGGATGTAGGGGGGGCTGACCCTGAGAGTGAATGTGCCTCCTGACTGAAAGAGAGCTGGAGAGAGCGAACGAGCGGTAAAAGAGAGCAGAAAGGTTTGGAAAATACAAGACAAATTGCAGAGGGTCATTACTCTCCAATTGTTACCTTGTAGCTAATCTATAAATGAGATGGGGAATCATTGATGGGGTGACGTTTGGTGTAATTAGGTTTATACAAGCTCTGGGTTATTGCCTATTCAGCAAGCCTCTTGTGCTGCATGAATCACATCTGATTTGTCAGTCTCCGTGACATTGATACCACTTGTCTCCTGTCAGGGCTGTGATTACTCTCTTTCAATATCCCCGCACGGTTCAATATTTAATCATAGAGCCATTTGTATGGAAACAATCAATTACTCATGCATAATTTTCTCCCTGAGATGGTAACCGAGGAACTGTGCGTTTGATGTCTTTACATCCTCGAAGAAAAGGTCAATACGCTCATCTTAAAATAGATCCCCATCACAGAAATCAATGAGATTAAAAGAGTAAAACAATATTAGCTTCATTCAGTGATTAAGGAGCTCCCCGTGAAATATCATCCAAATAGATTAATATGCGTCTGCCTGAGACCCTCAGAGCGTCAGATTCTCATTCACCAAACCACCCGCTCACTCTACATGCAGTCGGTGCATTAAAACAAAAGTTAAAATGCACACAGTGTAACAAAAATTCACTCAGAGACTCTAGATTTAAGTAAAATCAGGATCCACAAAAACAGCTGAGGTGACTGTTTGTAATGGACAGCTACTAGGGGTGGAGGAGGGTCACCAGACCAAGTTTAAAGCTAAGTGGGGTCTGTGTAGCCCAGCGCCAAAGCTAACTCTCTTAGTTACCTGCCTGTATCACCATGGTTACATACACCAAACTCATTTCAGAAGTCTGAGTGCCATCCTGTAACAAAGTAAAGGGAAAATTCATGTTTTATTTGATAGTAGGTCAGGATGAAATAAGCTTTTGTTAATGGTAGGCATATTGTAGGTGCCATAGAAGATAATAGTCAGCCTTGCAATGTAAGTGAGCTAATTTGGATGATTTTCTGAGTGTAAGTTTACTTTGTTGTCAGATTGCCCATTTATTAAAAAAATAATAACTTTATTTACATACTGCGTTTAAAGATCCTATGAGGGATAATTTCTGAGACTAGGCTAAAGAGTTTCATTTCGTATTTTTTAATACTTGAAACCTGTGTGAGAGGTATTTGTCAGTCGAGAAGCTTCTTCTTCAACTTCTTCTTCAGCGTCTTCTTCAACTTCTTCGTCTTTTCTTCTTTAACTTCTTCAACTTCAACTTTTTCTTCTTCTTCTTTAACTTCTTCAACTTCCTCGTCTTCTTCCTCTTTAACTTCTTCAATGTCTTCTTCGTCTTCAACTTCTTTAACTTCTTCCTTTTCTTCTTCGTCTTCAACTTCTTTAACTTCTTCAACTTCTTTGTTTTCTTCTGAAGCATGTAGTGGAAGAGATGAGCAAGCACTGATTTGTCCTCAGGGGGCGCAAAAACTGATGCAAACCAAAAGTGACTGGTATAATTGAAATAAGGGTTATAAAGATCTGCTTTTCTTGAACTCTTACACATAAGCTGATAAAGTCAGAGTGCATGGAGAGGTTTTCTAAATAAGACCATATTTTCATTTGTTCAAAAATCACCCTCAAACCAAAGTACAAGCACGGCGAAAGCTCAATCAAAGCTTGATTCTGAGCTGGCACCGCGGCCTGGCTCCGGCTCACTCTGTTGGGACAGCAGGGAGTTAAAAGCTCATTGGTGTAATCCAGCACCTGGCTGCGTACAGCCTTCTATGTAGTTACTAAGAGGATAAAATAGATTCAACAAAAATTGGCAAGTGGCCTTGAGAATCGGGGTGTTAAAGGAAAAGTGTTGGTTTAAGTGGCCTGGCTTCAATTTAACGGCACAGCTTGAAGCCGAGCTGCAGCTTTAACATATGGTAAGCTGTTACATTAGACATGAAGAGAGGTTTTCTTTGTTCATATTGCTGCTGAGGTTCAAAATTCATCTGAGATAAACTCTTTAAGGTTTGTGAATTTTATCTTTATTTGCATCAGTCTGTTCAACTGCACACACTACATAGATACAACAATTTACATTGTATTGTAAGATTAAGACGGATACTTTACCCTGAACTCCAAGCCGAATATCTTCATTTCAACACTCTGCCGCCCTCCAAATCCAAAGTAAATATGAGCTCCTGACCAAAACAAGCATGACTGTTGGACAAATGCCCAAAGTGGGTTTTCCTTTTCTGTGGTACTTTGCTCCAGTTGGCTCCTGCCAATCAGACTTCTGTTCTGTTGGTTTTCCTACAAGAAGACGATAAGACTGCAACTAGAGAAGCAAAAGCAAACAGATGCATTGAAAG